CCCCTGGAGCGGCCCTTTGCTCGAATGAGTGGTGCTGTCTTTCTCCCCTTAGGTGGTGATCGTGGCAGGGGTGGCCCCGGTGGCATGAGAGGCGGTGGCCGAGGGGGCCTCATGGACCGCGGTGGCCCTGGGGGCATGTTCCGAGGGGGCCGCGGTGGAGACCGAGGTGGATTCAGAGGCGGCCGAGGCATGGACCGAGGCGGATTTGGAGGGGGCCGCCGAGGAGGACCCGGTGGCCCCCCCGGCCCTCTTATGGAGCAGATGGGAGGCAGAGGCGGCCGACGTGGTGGACCAGGAAAGATGGACAAGTATGATTTGGGACCATGGGGCCGGCTGTGGGGCTGGCAGGGGCCCCAGGGCATTAGAGGGTGGGAAGGGAGAGGGTGGACGGTCAGGAGCAAGTGGGAGAAATCTGGACTGCAGAAGCTAGAAGGTGTGTGTGGGGGGGAGAGATATAGGGTGTGAGGTTAGTTCTGGCGTCCCCATTGCTCTTCCGGTGGAAAGACGCAGCCCTCACCGTGGCTAATCTCGCATTCTTTCCTTCGCCAGGGGGGAGCATCGCCCGGATCGCAGAGACCGGCCGTACTAGTGGCCCTGGGGTCCCTTCCTGCTGCAGGACTGCATTTACTACCAGATTTATTTTTTAAACCAGAAAAAATGTTTTAAATTTATAATTCCATATTTATAATGTTGACCACAACATTATGATGATTCCTTGTCTGTACTTAGTATTTTTCACCATTTGTGGAGAAACATTAAAACAAACTTAAATGGTAGTGTGCTGAGTTCTTTTTTTTTTTTAATGGTTGTTTAACTAAAAATCCCAGTAAGAAACCATTGTTTGTGAGCATGCTCAGTAAATCTGTGTGGAAGACCAGGAGGAAGACGACTAAATTGTAACAATGTTAATGGTTGTGATGTTTTTTAAATAAACTTCCAAATGTTTATAAATGCAACACCTCTTAGCATGTCTTCACATCAGCTCCAGCTCTGGCAGGAAAAGTGTGGCTCTCTGCTCCAGGAGCCGTGGTCCACGGAGGGCATTGGGACTTCACTACGGAGCTCTGTGTGACTCTGTGGTTTGCAGAGCGATGGGATGTGATAAATGGAGGAATTTCACGGGCTGGGACAGGTCTGGGATGTACTTGCTAAAGTGCATCCTTTGTGCCCGGGAGCCACATGGCAAAATGACCTACCTGTACATACTCGTCTCATCTTGCATTATGAGACTGGAATTGTTTGCACACTTTGTTGTTGATCCACACTGTCCCCTAGCTTTAAATAAAAACCATCGAGCAAGTTAACTAGTAAACACATTTAACTGCTAGGTCTTTGTCATTTTTTCACTGGCTCGTACCTTGCCTGTCAAGAGTTTGAACAAGGTGTAGTGGAAAATTGTAAGGTTCCTCAAGAGGATCAGCTGTCAAAGTGGACTATCGTTGGGAGATTAATGCTGCTAAAATATTTCAGCTGCTACCTTCACAGGAAAAGATTCACACAGAAATTGGAGATGGCAGGCGAGCTTCCTGCTCCTTCCTTGAGGTAATGACTCCTGCACCCGCTTCTCGAGGACACAGGGAGGTGGTGGTTACCTATAAACACTCAGTAGATTTGTAGTTCATCTGTTCTCCACTTGGCCTCCACTGCCTCTCCTAGATCATGTTTTAAGAGCATAGTGGCCTGGAGAAAATAATCCCCTTCGGCAGCATCCAGTCATGTTTTTCCTCTTGCCTGGAGGAAGTGTCTGCTTGTAATCCTCTCTGCACTTTTTGAGAAAAAAGTGGTGCTAATGGAACTTTCTCTCCATCAATAATGGCTTCTTCAGCAGCTCCCGTGAAATGTGAGCCATTCATTACAGATTCAGTCCAACCCTGCATCAGGTGCAGAATGGGAGGGAGGCCACTTTTAAAAAAAAGATGTGTTGATACAGATGAATGAAAAAACTGTACAGTAGTTTGATTCTGTGCTTTTTAAACAGCGGTTTGGAAGCTCTGCCCAGATGGTGGTCAGCCGAGTCTGACAGCATACAGTGGTGCCTCGCTTAATGAGTGCCCCGTTTAACAAGTCTGGCAGCATACAGTGGTGCCTCGCTTAACGAGTGCCCCATTTAACAACGAATTTGCGATCGAAAAAGCGATTGCATCGCGATGTTTTAAATAGGAAAAAATCGCTTTGCGATCGGTAAGCTGTTTCGCTTACCAATTATCGCATAGCGATCTTTTTCCTACAGCTGATTGGTGGTTCCAAAATGACCGCCAGAAAAAAAACATAGCCGCTCACTGTGTTTTGGGATGGATTCCTCGCATACCGGGCAGCAAAAATGGCCGCCGTATGGAGGATTTTCGCTTAAAGGTGAGTTTTTTGCCCATAGGAACGCATTGAAGGGGTTTCAATGCATTCCTATGGGCTTTTAAAAATCACTTAGTGATTTTTTTTGTTAGCGGCGATTTTTGCTGCACTGATTAACATCGCTGAGCGAGGCACCACTGTAATAGTATCTGCTCTGTGAAAGGCAGCCAACTGCTAAGAACCAGTAAAGGTTGCTGGACCATGCTGAATCAAGAAACACTCTGAACAATTACTGTGATTTGAAAGGATTGCTCCTTGGTTTGTACACTGGGCGGCAGTGTAGCATCGAAATGGCTGCTTTTCGTAGGCATTAACTTGGCAGCTGAGTTTTGTGCCTAGTAATTCACAGACCCCGAAGCCAGTGGTGCGGGGAGGGAATTCCTTTCTCCTTCAGCTGTCTCCTTGGAGATAATTTAATTAGGTTTGATGCTTGTGTTTTGGAGGAGTGATCGAATGTGGCAGAACTGTACTACAGCTGGGAAATTCTGCCAGCCAGATTTTAGACCTGTTGGTTGCAAATAGCTACACATCCAGCTGTACTGACCCTGAATCTTATGGATTGCCCCAGGCCTTTCAGGTTGAGAGCGGTGCATTGGTGAGAAGACAGCCTTGCCACTTTTACTAGCATGAATCTGCATGAAGTGTCAGAAAGCAATAGCGCACAACACAAAGAGTAGTGCACATTTTGTGCGTGGGATCCTAAATGCCTTTTGAAATTTGATAACAGCACACTAAGAGGTAGGTCTTTAGGGAGTGAACTGGAAAAAGGCCTCCATAGTCATAAACCACTCGTCTGTGTTATTTCCTTGTGCACCTCTGATGGTTAAGATTGTGATTGTCGGAGCTCACAAATCGCTGCAATATGGAAGTAAAAAGGATAGGAAGAGACAGGGTGCCAGACACTCATGTAGTCCAGGGGGTGGAAACAAAGCTAACTGTTGGATGCTCTGAATAACCACCCAGAGCACCGTCCTCTGGTACTACATGACTTTTGGCCTTCTAAACCTGCCTCCTTACAAATCTGAATTCAGTGATAGCTTTATTGGGACTGTTAAAAAGTGGTGTCGGGTTTTGAGTACTCCAAAGGTCTTCGGATAGACAAGATGGTGCACACACTGCTGTGTTTCTCTCTGGCCAGAGCCAGACTAAGCCTGTGAACTTGAAGCACGTATTAGGGCGATGAACAACTGCCTGAAGCTTTAAGAGACCTTTAGGTAGTGAGAAGGCGAGAAATCATGAACTATACATCCCAGCAAACTGGTTCTTTAATGTTTTTCTCCACTCCATCTGCAGACTCCGTCTTCCAGCTACGGACACTTACAATAGGTGATACAGGGACAGAGTTCTGGACATGCTTTGTCACACCCCCACTCCAGTTTTTATATCTTCTCCTACCCCTGTTTAGTTTTACCCTGCAGACTGCAAGTACATGTTTCCTGCAATCCAGAGGGGTGTACATGCACTTATAAGAGCCATTAACCCCTGAACTGTGGTGTTCCCAAGCTACATCAGATGGATTAGTGGGAAGGGCATTTCCTGCTCTTCTGTGCTGAGGCTAAGAAGTCTTACTGTTCCTGGATCAGGCATTGTTTCATTGTGCTGTGGTGGTGACCACCTTCCACCGCTCGGCAAATGGTGGCCAGAAATCAACACCAGGAGTGAAACTTCGCAAAAACCTTCAGACCCCGTCCTGCGTCCATTCAGCGTGCAGCCCCACAAACAATTCTTAAGCAATTCATTTCAGGGAGTGTTGACAGTGGCAGAGCTTCCGGGTGGCATGGCCTTCCTGTTAATCAATCCAGCAATTAAAAAATTGTCCAAGCCCTCTCTTTATCAGCACAAGTTATTTTGCAGTCAGATCAGGGTGCAGAGGCTGGAAAAACAAGATATATTGGTAGTTGTGGCACTCTGTTGTAGCAAAAACAGCAAGAAGCATTGTGGCATTTTAAAGATTAACAAGTGTATGTTAATATGGATTATAGCTCACTTGAAGCAGCAGAAGTTGGGCTACAGCTGAGAAAAAGATTATACGTGATAAAAAAACAAACTTTCTGTGTTTAAATGCCACAGGACTCTTGTTTTGGGGGATCTGTTGATTGTTGCTGCAGGAACAAGATGTTCTAGGGTTCACAATCACATCTCGTGGTCAATACATTGAGTTGGAGTCAGAGGGGGTTTGCTCCTATTTCCCTTTTGGGGGGGGGATACTGGAGTGGGTGGGTTTGTGCTGGCCGCAAGAGCTGAAGCACAGGCTGGGTGCCATTCAAGTGTTCCCCCCCCCCAAGTTTTGCCTAATCTTGGAGAAGATGTGATGAATGGGTTGTGAGATGTTATCCTGGCAAAACAGGTGCTCCATCTAAGCTGTGGCCCCACACACATTGTGTCCTCCCCGGCTCCCAGTCCTCTCCCGGAGTGCAGGACACATCATCATGTGCTCAAACTACAGAAAACCAGGACTGAATGTCATGGAAAAATACCCTAACTGTTAGAGCAGTACAACGATGGAACGCATGACCTTGGGAGGTGTTGAGCGCTTCAGCGCTGTAGAGGCATTCAAGAGAAAATTGGACCACCCTCTGTCACATCTTCTTGAATGCCTGCCTTGAGCAGGAGGCTGGACTCGATGGCCTGATAGGTCTCTTCTGACTCCATTATTACAGGATTCTGTTCCAACACCAGGTGGTAGCATTTCATAAGAGAACTGCTGTGCCTTGTTTGATCCTTGCTTTCCGTGGGGGGTGGAGTTGGGAATGAGCATTGAACCAAATAAGCAGTACAGCAGTGTCTTTACAGAACGGCCAGCTCTTGCCAAGTCCTTCATCTTGCAGAGAATAAAAAAAGCAGACGGTGCCGCAAACAGCAAAAGGGTAGGCAGAGCAGCTGCTCAGAGTGGGCTTGCTTTTACCTGGAGTTGGCATTGATGGGCATCTGCAGAAGCTTGTAGAGAAAGGTAAAACACCAAGCAGTAGAGTCTCGCTTGCTGGTGGTAATTGTGAGCTCGAGCAGCCAAAACCCCAATCAGCTTATGTTCTTGGAGTCATGATGGAGACAGAAAGCTACCAGTCCATTAGCAGGTTGCTGGGAAGCCATAAAGGGGAAGGCTTTTTCTCGAACTCGTATCTTTCCTGCAGACATCATCTTATCTACAAATTTCAACCCAGATCTGCCACCTGGGAAGCAGGCGCATGGTGTGCAAGAGAGTTTTTCAAAAGCTAAAACAGGCCCATTGAAGAAACAAAAAGGAAGGGGGAAATGCTACTGGAACATTCAACACAGACGTCCATCTTGGAGACCGTCGTATTGCAACAATGAGGACTAGAATCTTTCTCCTTTTACCAAGCAAACACTGGTATGCTCCAGTACTCCAAAGAACAGCCCTGTCTTTACTCCATCACTATATCATATTACAATTTATGTTCAACTATAGCAGATTCTCGTGACCCAGCACTTGCTGAAAATCTAGGGGAAACTAATAATGTAAAGAGTGTCAGGTCTTCTTTTATCCAGAAGCAGGATGGCCAGATTCTCCCATGGCGGCGTTTATCTAAGGTATCTGTCGCTCTCCAGCGAGTAATTGTTTTATTCTCTGGGACTACGAAGTAGAAGA